TCTATAAAAAATTTATAAATTATTATTAAGAGTAATATTAAGAAATAAATATCTAAAAATTTGAATATTTTAAAGAAGTTTTTAATAGAAGAATAGAATCTTATTTCAAAAATTATTTTAAATAATTTAATAAATTTAATAAAATATTATTATAAGTTAGTTATTGAAAGTAAAGATAAATAAATTAATTTTTGAGTTTAAAAAATTTTATTCTATAACTTTTTTGTTTTTAAATAATATATTGATCAGTAAATTTAATATAATATTCATAAATTTATAATGAATTTAGTATAGCTAAGTTTTTTTATCACATACTATATATATAATAAGCATTTAACTTTAATTTATTAATTTTAATTATAATAATAACTATAAGTTTCTTCTTATCTTCAAGTTTAATAATTATAGAATTAATCTTTTTAATTTTTATTTTATTTAAAGCTTTTATTTATAAAATTTTTTGAGACTTTACTATCAAGTAATATTCAAACTGATTTATTATTAACTTAATTATTAAATTTTAGTAATCTCTTATAATTATCTTCTAGATAAGCAAATTTTATTCTTTTATTTTACTAGAATATTTCTTTTTGTAAGTTTTTAATATTTATTATCTTGATCTTTGATTTTAAATAATAATTTTCTATAAAATAATTAGATTTTTTATAATTATAATATATATTTTTAAATTTAATATTCTTTTTGATTTTATTCTTGTAATAACTTTTAGCTTAATCTAATTTTATTAGTATAGAGTTATTATTTTAATAACTTCTATTTTAATATTATAAGTAATAATTATTATTATATTTATTTATATTTGTATAAATTTTTCTTGTCTATATATAGCTATATTAATATAATAATTTTAATTAGATTATCTCTCTTTTGGATCCTTTTAGTTTAGATCTTTATTTTGTACTATCTGTACTACAGATTAGCTTTGTATTATATTTTTAAGAAAATCAATTTCATACTGAATACATAAATGATCATTATGTATTAGATACATTAGATTTAGTATATTATTATACAGATAATCACTATATATACCTATATTATTAATTTAAATAATTAATATTTTTAATTAGATTTTTTTATAATAATTCTTTTCTCTTTTTACTCATTCTTATTTATTATTATTTATATTATTATTTATCATATTATTAATTATTGAATTATAATTAGTTGCTCTCCAGAAATATGAATTAAGTTAATTAATTCTATTTAATCTATATGTATTTTAAAATAAATTTATTATTATTTATTTACTTTTGTATTCATTTTTTTTATTATAAATAAAATCTTTTTGTTCTGTAATTTCTCTTCAGATCTGAATATTTTTAAATAATAAAAATAATTATAAGTTATAAAATTAAAACTGCTCATATCATATTTTATCTTATTTATAATTATTAATAAAATAATCTTACAACTTGATAGCAGTGAACATGATTATTACAAATATTACTCTTTAATATCTTACTATATATTATATAACATACACATTACATATATACATTTTAGTTTTAATAAAAATAGTATCTTGTCAAAATGAACTCAGAATAATTTGTCTAATTTATACAGAATATAACTGAATTAATTAAAATAATTAAAGAAGCTAGTTCTTCTAGTTCTAAGCTCTTAACTCATCTCTCAGTTAAATTATCTATATATTCTGAAGAATCAAATAAAAATATACTTATTTGGATCAAATAAGTTAAAACTATATTCCAGATTCAAGAAATTAAAAATAAGAAAACTTAGATATAATATACTATTATTATCTTGACAGATATAGCTTTATATTAGTATCTTAATAAAGTAAAAGCTAATTTAATAATTAATAATAATTATAAATATAATAATAAATTTATAATTATTTCTTTATATTCTAATTTATTTCTTTTTATTATTATTTATATTATTATTTAAGATATTATTATTCTAAATTTAAAATTATGAATATATAATGATCTTCTATATAATAATATATATATATCTAATTAATTTAATATATAATAATCATTTGTATATTCAGAGTGAAATTAATTTTTAAAAAATATAATACAAAAGATAAACTATAATATAGATAGCATAAAATAAAGATCAAATACTAAAAGAATATAATCTAATTAAAATTATTATACTTCTTAAAAAACTTTTAATTAAATTTATTAAAGCTTTAAACTTAATTTTATTAGTTTTATAATATTTTTTGAATAAGATTTATATTTTTTAACTTTTTTTCAAAATATATTTAATTGAATAAAGATCTGAATTTTATATAATTTATAAAAACTTAATATTAAATTATTCTTCTTTTATTAGTTAATTATAATCAGTACAGAAAGTAATAACAAATATATTTTTCATCTATAACTTAATAATAAATTGCTAAAAATTTACAAAAATTTGATATTATATTCTTTAAGACAATAAAAACAAAATTTTTTAAGATTACAAATATATTAAAATAGTAATATTTTGTGAAATCATGTGTTAAAGATAATAGGCTGAAGACTATTTTAATTAAAGTACTATAAAAAATTATTTAAAAATATTTTTATAAGCAAGTATAAAAATAATTTTATTAAAATATATTTAAAGATATAGAAAATATATTTATAATTTATGAAAAATTTTTAATTAACATTTATTAAATAAATGCCAGTCAAAAAATATTTTAATTTTAATAAATTCATAATAAAATATAATAAAATAATATTTTTATTATATTTTACTATATTTTATTATAAAATTTATTCTTTTTTGACTGATATTTATTTAATAAATATTAACTAAATTTTTTTTAAATTATAAATATATTTTGATAAAATTATTTTCATACTTGCTTATAAAAAAGATTTTTAAATAATTTTTTATAGCATTTTAACCAGAATAGTTCTCAATTTATTATTTTTAGCATGTAATTTCACAAAATATTATTATATTAATATATTTTGTGATCTTAAAAAATTTTGTTTCCATTATCTTAAAGAATATAATATCAAATTTTCATAAATTTTTAGCAATTCTTATTAAATTATAGACAAAAAACATATCTGTTATTACTTTCTATACTGACTATATTCTTGTACTATATATTAAAGTATTATTATTTTGAAAAATATATTATAAATTATTTTTTAAATTATTATATATATAAAATCTGTTATATTATCTGAAACTTGAATTAAGAATCAATTTTATCTTTTATAAAATATTTTTTATATTATAATTTCTTAATTTCTAGATTTTATAGTTAATTATAAGTAATTTACATCATATTTTTTATATAGTTTATATCAATCTAATAATATATATTATTTTAAAATAATATAAAGTAATATTTATTATTTAAATAAAAAAATTCTATTTATTATTTTAATTTCTTCTTTTATAATATTATTCTAGTATTTTTTTATAATTTTTTTCAGAAATAAATAATTTTCTTTTTCTAGCTTATTCATAAAATTTCTCAATATATAAAGTATATTTTATAATACTAGAAAATACTGAAATTAATAAAGATTCACTATATTATTTTGCTATTTTTTCTAGTAATTATTACTAATCTTTCTTAACTAATTTTATAAGACTTTTAATTTTTTTTATAAGTTTTAATAATCTTTTTAAACATAAAGCATCTGTAATATTTTCTGAATTTTTGTATTTGTTATAATATCATAAATAATAATTTTAAAATATCCAAAAATTTCTTCAATATTTTATTTATTATATTTTTCTTTTCAGAAATCTATAATCTCTTCTTGTTCAAACTTATAAGTTCATGTCTTTTGGATATTATAAAAGAAAATTTTTTTATTTTAATAACTAAAAAAAACAACTATATAAGAAAAAAATTTTATTTATTCATGCTTAATATTTTGATATAAATCTTATTTTAATAGATAATAATCTATAATTATAAATTAAATAATTGGATACTATTGACTGGAGAGTATAGATATTTAATTCTATAATATAACAATATAATATATAAATAATATCCACAGAAAATATCATCTAATTTGAAATTATATAGTAAATATATATAAAATTTTTTATAATTAAAACAGTTCTTGCATCTTAAGTCTTCCATGGCTAGGAATCAATTTTTTGAAAACTTTAATTGATTAGCTTTACAATGGTATAATAGTTACTAAAAAAAATAATTATATAGCTTGAAATTTTCCATTTTTTGTATATTTTACTATATAATTTTGAATTGGGCAATACTTTCTGTGGGTATTATACATGTACAAAGGAGTGACAAAAATTAGGATGGACATAAAATTTGTTAATAAAATATAGTACATATATATGCTACTGAAATAATTTCTTATATAAAACTTTAATAAATATTTTTGTTTTTTAATTATGTCAAAGTAAAGACAAGCATCTACATATAATTTTTTCAATTTTTTTGAAGTTTTGATCTAATTGCGAAGTGATCACAAGAGGTCTTTTATAATTAAAAATGAAATTGATTATAAAGTTCTTTTGTGATCACTTCGCATTAAAACAAAACTTTCAAAAAAATTTGAAAAAATTATATGTAGATGCTTGGACATAATTAAAAAACGAAAATATTTATTAATGTGATTAAAAAGTTTTATATAAAGAATGATTTCAATATATACATGTATAAGGACCAGATACTGTTAACACAACATTTAATCTACATTTGCATAGACATATACGTGTACATGTAACTCATACATTATCGATATGATAAGTTATTGAATTTAAATTTGGGTCAAAAGCATACTAACTATAAATGCTAAAGTGTATGCCATCTTAAATCGATCATCAGCTTCAAAAGACCAATAAATTGATGTTCCTCCTGAAAAAATAGATGACGAAGTAGTCTCTTCAGAATTGGTTGTTTTGCTATTTTCTGGCGAATTAAGGGCGCTGTGTGAAGGTTGTGTATTAGAAGAACCATAGTTATCTTGATTGGAGCCTTCATTGGAGTTGCCTACATTGGAGTTGCCTTCATTGGAGTTTGTTGTCCCAGTAGATTTTCCTGCGCTGCTTGTAGGTTTTGGCGAATTCGTTGCTGGTTTGTTTGAGTGAGAATCCGTTGCTGGTTTGTTTGATTGAGAATTCGTTGCTGGTTTGTTTGGTTGAGAATTCGTTGCTGGTTTGTGTGATTGAGAATTCGTTGCTGGTTTGTTTGGTTGAGAATTCGTTGCTGGTTTGTTTGGTTGAGAATTCGTTGCTGGTTTGTTTGGTTGCGAATTCGTTGCTGGTTTGTTTGGTTGAGAATTCGTTGCTGGTTTGTTTGGTTGCGAATTCGTTGCTGGTTTGCTCGGCGGTGGCGCCTGTGCTGGTTTTCTAATAATCATTGTAAAATAAATATTATTCTTCTAATAAATTAAAATGCAGATTATGTTAAACAAATAATTACGTTGATTCTCGTTCGTAAAAGCTAACAGGCAAAGTATTCACCACTAGCAAGGTGCTTTGTAGCAGAACAAAAAAGAAAAATAAATATTTATATTTCATTGAAGCTTTTATTTTACTTAATTCGTTTATAAAAACTGAGAACAAGAATTTAAAGTCTCGAAACGATTTGAACGTACATGTATTTATAAAGATTAACATGAAACATTTTATACGTGCATTTATCGGGAAGCCTATTGTTTAAAACCTAAATATTTATTGTTGTTTATAATGTGCTTTAAGAAATACCTGTATTTAACAACTTTTCATGCTCTAATTTTATTAGAAGATAGTTAAAGAATATTGTCTTTTCGTGGCTTTTCGTGGCTTTTCTTTCAATGTTAGTGCACTTAAAAGGAAACATCATATTTCGAATTCTTTCAAGGAATTCATGCGCACAAAAACAAATATACATGTAAAGTTTGAGAATTTTTGGACAATTATTGCTTCGATATTAATATGCATATTATTTCTAAATTAAAACAAACAGGTTTATTTACATGCTAGTGTTACATACAAACTCTTTATTAGATTCCCTTTTTGATATATCTCAGAACAAATAACGATACAGTATTTTAAAAATTTATTACTTGCATAAGCCAAAAAATTGTTGGGATTAGACATGAAACTTGTAACGAATGTTTGAACGGGGTATACTTATAATAAACAGTTCTAGATCTGACGAGAAATAGATTTATTTACACTGTAAGCAAAGTAACTAAATATCGAATTAGATTTAGGGATTGGAATCGATTGCGAAAATTAAAATTGATCTTGCATATAAAATGAAATCGAGAAGCGCTTATAAACGATTTCAGTTTCAGTTTTGGAATTTATATTTTTAATAAATTGATTTTATTTAAAATATAAAATCAAATCAAAATTTGAATCAATCAATTTGAATACATTTTAAAAAAACATTATCTGATTTATAAACGTACACCGGCCTCACAAAAGTATCCGGAAAGATCGGCAACTAAAAAATCAAGAAAGTATCACCCGATGCAAAATTAATGAAAATTTTTCAATTTATTTGACTCCAATACTGCATTGATGCAGTAACCCGTTCTAAAATAGCCACATCAAGTTTTCCCACTCTATCTTCAGTGCAATCTTAAGTTCGTCCACAGTCATCGAAAAGTTCCATTTCTTTGAATATTATCTTTTAATATCTTTCAAAGGTTCTCTATTGGATTCAGGTCTAGGGAATTCGCGGCCATTTAATAATTGCGATTTTATTTTCCGTTAACCAATCCTTAATTTTTCCCGCAGTATGTATCGGTGCATTGTCATGTTGAAAGATTGCATAACTTCCCGTTAATTCCCTAATTTACATTCTGGAATGGAAATAATTGAGTTTTTAAGATTTTGAGGTAAATATTTGCAGTTATTTTTTCATCATTTTTTTATATTTATCACAAAAAAATAATGGTCCTTTTAATTTTCCCGCGAAACATCCCCGAACCATTACAGATTTTCATCCACTTTTAGGTAGGCGCCAAACAATTAACGTTAAACTTTTCTCCAGGATGGCGTCAAACTCTTGGCTGATGTGATTACTTTCCAATTTTCACGTTTACTTTCAACAATTATAAGTTGATTTATTTTTATTTTCTTTACATCATTTAATGTGTTTCCGAGATATTGGCTTTCTTTGCTGCAATACATTTGTGACGGTTGATAAACTACAAGTGAAGCCTAAATTGTTGACTATTTCACGAAGTGATGCACATCATTTTAGTTAGCTTTACGTATAAGTAAATCCTTTCATGGTTGGTGGCCTTCCTGAACATGATAATTTCACTTTTTCCAGTTCTTTATATGTATTTATAAATTGACATATCGTTGTAGGGCCGCGTCCGAATATTTTGCGATTTAGTTATTTGTGATGTTCATGTACGCTAAAATCTTCATCTTCCCGATGAGAAAAGTCCCCCGGAATTTTATCGGAATTGATACTAATACCCGGAACCATAAGGAATTATTTCGGAAACGATAAGGAATGATACTGACTGATTTTAGACTTTTAGATATTTTTTTAAAAGAGGGAATTATTACGGAACTGATACCAAATACGGAATTTTTTCGGAATTTTAAGACTGATGATTTATGGAACCAGTAAATTTTTGGAATGCGAACTGGAATTTATACTCAATACGGAATCAATTTGCAATGCAATACAGAATTTTTATGCAATTTTTATAGAACTAAAACCAATGCTGAACATAATCATATTGCAAAAGGAGTTTTTACAGAACCTATTACTGGATATATAATTGATTCTGACATTATAACATAATATACTCAGAATACAAAGAAGGAACTTAAATTTATTCTCAGGAATGGGGCAAATTATAATTGTTTACAGATTAGTAGCAGAAATTAAGATCGATGATGGAAATTACTGGACCCTGCATCATGCTATTCTACTTTAGATCATATCATTTTATCCATGATAAATTTTTTTCTCCCGTGTCAAACTATACGTTTTATATAATTGACCTCATAGAATTGTGATGCTCCTTCTTCAATAAATCTTTTTACAAATAATTTAGATTCATTAGAATGATTTGGAATATTCTTGACCCAATTTATATATGCAAGCATTACACTTGCATCATTATAAGTATGCCGAAAATAGAATGCGACACGTCCATAATATGTCTTCTTGATGTTTTGGGGATGTGAATTATATCTTTTACTTGGCACAGTTTCATTAATTTCAAACTAAAAATTGACCTCATTAAGATTAATAATAGTAAATTCAAAGATATCTCACACTTACCAATACACAACTGTTGTTTTGGAATAATAAAGGATCTCGAATTGAGATTTTAGATCCAATTAAATAGCCATCTTTGGTTAATAATCATGCATATCGAACACCACCATTTGACAATAACTAAATTAGAACAATATTAATTATAAGAAATTTAAATTAATATTTAAGATTTCAAACCTGGTCTATTTGAAATCTTCCAGCTATGTGAGCATTATATCAAGCATGTATCTGTCAAAATTCATTTTCTTTAGAGTGATATATTTTCAGGACCATTATAGTTGCATATCTTTCTTAAAATAAAAGATAGAATCATTTTGAACATATCCCAATGTTTGATATTTTTACTAGGTTGGTATAAGAATGATATTTGTGAACTATTAGTTGTAATATTCTTATCATTCATTCAAGAAAAATTATCAATAATTTCAACATGGTCTTGATTGAGTAATGCATTCTTTAATATATGGCAAGTAGTGAAAATCATTATAAATATACTTAATCATTCTTTGAAATTTTGATCATAATAATTTAATAAATAAAAAAATTAGATAATTATATATTGTTACCGTAGTGACATAAAATTCCTTAATTTCTTAATTTTTCCCTAGTTATGAAATATTACATTTTATTATAGTTTTATTTATTTTATAAT